GGGCAAGTGAAATCGTTGTAAAGCTAACATTTCTCTTTATCAGATCCCCCACGTGTTTTCGTTTTTTTTTTCTATACGTGATGGCTTTTTTTGTTTTGTATTTATCACCACCGTTTCTATTTATTAGTACTGTGATTTTTTTTGCTGTTCCGCTCCCTCCCCCCTGTTTTACCTGCAATTGTTCTGGTGTGCATGAAGCGGGAGAAAAGAAACAGAAACCGAAGTTCCACAGGAAACAAATGAGCTTTGCTGGTCTGCAGAAACGTCTGCAGAAGAAGGTGGCATCCACCGCAGCGGTGACGGGTGCTTCCTCTTCCTCGGAAGCAAACCTTGACCCTGCACCGTTTGCCAGCACCATCTACGACGCTGCCACTCGAGAAGCACGCGCGAACCATGAGGAGCGCAAACGACAACGTTCACCTGATGAGGAGAAGAAACTGGCGAAAAACGTTACTGTGAATGATGGTGCTGGGCACGCCAATGTGCCGTCTGAACAGCTCCCAGCAGAAAGGGCAAGACCAAAGAATCTAACAGAGACGGAGTTTTTGGAGCGGCGTTGCTTAGCCGAGGAAGTGGTGTTGCAGTGTGCGGGGGCCATGTTAAGAAGTATGGAACCAGCAACAACCACCAGCAGTACAGCGGTTATCAAAAACGAGTCAGAGGCGTATTATTTAAGTGGCTTGCCAGCACCGTTGTGTCAGTTTCTTGAACAACGCCTGCAACGTTCATCGAATGCAACTGCAATGTCAATTGACGCATGTGAAGAGGAGGAGCACGAGCTTCTCTCCGCTCTGAAAGTCGCTCTGAAGAGTACCAACAATGAACAGGTGGCGTTCCCCCAGCATCTCGAGTCTCTTATCATCATCTTGCGTACCCTCTGGCTTGCCTTGTGTTGGCATTGGGCCATAGCACTTTGCGGGACGGAGGGCAGTGAATCTCGTGAGAACGGGTGGTCTTACAACGTCTATCTTCTCTCACGGCACGCGCTGCCTGATGTGGTGCTCACTACGCGAGGACGTGATGTGACACTGGCCTTGGAGGCCTGGAAGGTGGCATATCATGTGCGGCAGAATGTGCTTGACTTCCTGGCATATATACTCCACGATGTGGGGGTGGTCCTACGGTTCTCACAAAGTGATGATTCAAGGACTCACGAGGAGTCACGGATTGTGCCGTTGAAGCTTGTGGACAGTATCTTTCAAATGGTGCAGCACTTACGTCGCCGGGATTTTGCGGCGTGTCGTCAGATCTACGTTGACCTTACGATGGGAACCGCAAACTGGAAGTTAGGCCTTTTTTCAGGCGGGGAGGTGCACATGAGGCGTTCCATGGAACGCATCGAACGTCGCCGCATTGAGCATCTTCTTCATAATGAAAGAGCTGTACGTATTTTGCATGTACTGCGAGAGTTGGTTGATTTTGTTCAGAAAAATGAAGTTGCTTTGCTGCACTCCGGTATTTTCGCTACGGAGCGGCCGAAGAAGGAGCACAGCTAATGAGAAATATTGACGAATTCCGCCTGTCACTGCAACTATGTTTATTATTACTATTGTTACTACACATCCAATGGAGGTCTTTTTTTTTTAGTTGTTTTTTGGTTCATTTGTCTTTTCGTTGATCTTCTTCTTAGTACAGTGGGTACAGACAGCCCGGCAGGGAAAACACCGGCGAAGGAAACGGGCGCCGCCCAGCCCCAATCCGTGGCATAGACGACTATCCTGCTGCAGCTGTTGGTGTCCTTTTTTGCAGAGACCCACCCCCGTCGCCGCGATGGGTGTCATTGCCCAGAGCGTTCATCCCAGCCTGCAGCGCTACTTGCCTGGACATCTACCGAAGCGGCAGCGGCGACTTCACGTGGGAAAAACCAACGGCAAGGAATTTGAGGATGCCCACGTGGCTGATGTGGAAAATGAGGTGGTACCGCATCTGAAACTTCCGAACAGGCTTGTGCAATCGCTGTTGCTCTCCCCCACCGTGACGCGCACCGCTGCCATCTGTGGTAATGAAACTCGACTTGGAACAAGCATTGGCTACCAAGACAACTCGCAGAGCAGTCGTATCTCGGAGCAGGTGTCCCTCAAGCATCGAAGGAACGACGCGGCGCAGATGGAGGAGACTTCCAGGTCACTGCTGGCTTCAAACACAGCTGGCAGGAACCACTACTTCACCGAAGAAACATTTTACATTGGGTACCCAAATTTAGGTGGGGCAGGGCAATTGCTGTACAATGACCCCAGTGACCCCCACAGTTGCAACCCTACGGTCAGTGCACGGAATACACGAAAACACCATTCGCCAGAACTTTGGTTTGCTAAGGCAACACAGCATCCAACAGGCGCGACACCACAGACGCAACTCAGCAGATTACTTACCGCAAGCGCGAAGAACGACATCCCACAAAATAATACACTTGACGGCAAAACACCCGCCAAATACAGCGACTCAGAAGCACAGCTTCTTTCCACTAACATAAAACCCGGCGCACAAAACGGTTATTGCACGAAGAAGATATCCGACGGATGGCCTCAAAACTATACTCCACCCGACGTGTACGATGTGCCACCACCAAAGCTGCGATATGAGCTCACCGACTACCACACCACATTCCATCATACAAACGGACTACCAAACTCCATCATGTACATCAGTGAAAAAGAAAGACTTCAATCAATACAACACATACCACTGCCAACCCCCACAAATATTGCTCTATGTAAACCTGGACGAAGACGATATCCATGTAAATGACGTCAACAATAAAAAAAGGCAAAAAAAATCTTCGAAAATCAAAAATAAAGCATTCCTTCAGCAAAATCAATGTAACATCAACATTTTATTAAAGTAAAACAATAAAAAGAGAACAACAATAACAAATAACCTTTAAACAAATGCATATTCAATGCAAACAATACAGCTACCACAGCTCATCCTTTCTTACAATGACCCCACACAACTAAGACACAACCAATAAGAGACCACAAACAAACAAGCCACTTTTTTCAGATTTTTGCATTTCGACGATGGCAACCCCGAAGCAGGTGTCGAAGAAGGCGTCCAAGAAGCGCAGCGGCGGGCGCTCTGCGAAGGCCGGCCTGATCTTCCCCGTGGGCCGCGTCGGCTCGCTGCTGCGCCGTGGCCAGTACGCCCGCCGTGTCGGTGCGTCGGGCGCCGTGTACATGGCGGCGGTGCTGGAGTACCTGACAGCTGAGCTGCTGGAGCTCTCCGTGAAGGCGGCGAGCCAGCAGGCCAAGAGGCCCAAGCGCCTGACACCCCGCACGGTGACGCTCGCTGTGCGCCACGACGACGACCTCGGCACCCTGCTGCGGAACGTGACCCTGTCGCACGGTGGCGTGATGCCGAGTCTGAACAAGGCGCTGGCGAAGAAGCACA